CAGCCAGGACACAGGAGAGCCCCAAACCCCACACAGGCTGACCTGGGGAGGGCTTCTCAGCCAGGACACAGGAGAGCCCGGATCCCCGTACAGGCTGACCTGGGGAGGGCTTCTCAGCCAGGACACAGGAGAGCCCCAATCCCCATACAGGCTGACCTGGGGAGGGCTTCTGAGCCCCTGACCAGTCTGACCCCCACCTAAAGATATGAAATTGTTTTTAGCTACAACAAATAGCTTCACAGATGAGGATATTAGCTACAACAAATAGCTTCACAGATGAGGCCCACCAGTTTGACTTCCACTGGAGCATGGTTTTCTTGGTCAGCACAGCAGGAAAACAGTTGTGTTAGCCTAGCTGACCAAGGAATTAACAGCAGTGTAGTACACAGGCCAAATGTGTACTTTGTGTAGACACAAAGGGCCAAATGTTGGAGTGCAGGCAGCCTAGGTCCCCCTGACATTCCCAGTTCCTCCCTCCACACCAGCTGGCCAATGGCATCTAACCCTAGCTTCCCCCACTCCACAACAATCCCAGCTCCTCCCCTCCACACCAGCTGGGCAGAGCAGAACAGTTACAAGAAGGCAAAACTTGGAAAGGGGCAGGGTTGGGAGTGGGGGGCGAAGAGGGGCTGTCTAAGGTGCAGGCTGCCTGGCTGGGGTGGGAAAAGGGCTGCGGCCATGCTCCCTAAACTCCAGCCAGGACCAGGCTTTAATAAACATATTAAACATTTACTAATTTCTTTCTTTGTGACATCTTTTTGCTTAATTTGACAAAGATACCATGTAGCCAACTTTAAAAAAAAATGTCTTCACAATGTAATGGAAACATAATGATGGTCCAATCAATGATTAATCACTTTGGATAGACTGAGTAGTTTAAAACAGTATTAGAATCTCCGATATGCTAAAAAATAGAAAAAACAAAGAAAAGGCTCACCACTCTCTGAGCTGCTATCAGTGCAGCTAATGTGCTCCGCCCTGGTGCTCCTGGGGCACAGAAGGAGACCCGGACTCTGCTCCCCTGGATGGTTGCCCCGACTGTGGCCTGCTGGGCCTCCTCTGCCTGCTCGGCCGTGCCATATTCAACCACCGCGAAGCCCCCCGCACAGCGACCTTCATCCTGTGCGAGCTGACGCGACACGTTTTCTTAAAAGGGAATTCTGATATTCATTTAGAAACATTTATTTGTGATATGTAATTTTCAAATCCAAGAACAAGGATATTGGAACATGAAAAGAGAATAATATTCCCTTTTTCTATGAAAATATAAGTTTACTAATTGCTTAGATGCAGCGCTTCCTGAAAACAGGAAGATAAACAAGAGTCTGTCAAATTGTTTTTAATTCTTTGATTTTCTGACATTTTTAATAATCGAAGCCCAAATAGTAATAGTCCCTATGTCTTAAGAAATATACACAACTGATAATTCATAGGAAAATGAGGACACAATAATTAAAACTTTCTTTAAAACAAAATCCACCAGAAACATGGACAATGAAATACACCAAGCAATTATCTGACCACCTGTCAGCATAAGATGGTGAATATCAAGAAAAGCGGAAGGAACGGCATTTTAGGCAGATCCCAGGAATTTCGTCAAGTATACCAAGGCAACCTGTATTCAGGAAAACTGTGCCCCAGGTTTGTTAAAATACGAAAGCAACACCAACTTTTAATCTTCTGGCTGTGCCCTAAACAAACCCCTGCGGTGCAGAACTTGAGGCATCTCCACTCGCCCACCTCTGAGAGTGCAGAGGAAGGCGTGAAGGCCGGGTTCTGTGGAGACCGCACCAAGGGGGAGCACAGGGTTCTCTTCAATACATTAATACCTTCATGCTACGAAGTGGTACGTGTGATACAATTCAACTTGGTGTGCACTGAGAAGACAACAGGACACTTCCATTGGGTCTGTAAGCTGGGATTATAATTAAATCATTTCTTAGTCCTCATTAGTTTCTTTTCTCTTACTTTTGAAGCTTAACTTTCTTTACCATTTTCTAGGTTTAGACCAGATTTCTAGTTTTCATTCACATGACATCTTCCCTTTAAAATTGTCCTCAAATGCCTTTTTCCCTACAGAACTTTTTCCAACCCTCAAGTTGTATTGTTAATCTTTTGGAAACTTTAAAAATATTTTTTATTATTCCTGTTTCATTGTGATGATCTTTATGCCTACATATATTGTAATACCACTTGAGTCTTTCAACAGACAAAATCATTTCAAGTTCACAGAATCAGTAGTTTTGGAGAAGACTAACTTGGTTCAATATGAGGGCCATTCACAGATCTGGTAAAAATAGTCACTCAAAAACACTATAGCTTGGGTGGTGCCTGTGGCTCAAAGGAGTAGGGTGCTGGCCCCATGTGCTGGAGGTGGCGGGTTCAAACCCAGCCCCGGCCAAAAACTGCAAAAAAAAAAAAAAAACACTGTAGCAAACATTTCCCATCAGGTGTAAAGCCACACTAGATAATCTCTAAGTACCTTCCAACTCTGGGATGTATAATCCAAATATGATTTGTGATAAGATCCGTCCAATGGGGGATTGATAATTCAAATACAATTCATGATAAATGGCTTTTCTCCTCACATTTGCTTCAAAGGCCTCAACTAAAGGAACAAAGAATTATGTACAGCCACAAATGATATCACTACATAATTCTTGGTATTCAAGAATAGCATCTCAATAAATCAACTTTGAACAATTAGGCAAAGATTTAATAAAAGATCTATCACAAAAATATTCTAATTACATACAATTTAATTGTTTGATGCTTTTTATATTGAGATCATAGGGGTGGAGATGCAAGAAAAAGTAAGATGGTCACTCTAATCTCAAAAGTACATATTACACACAATCTTACTCTTGTGTAGAATCGGAACAAGCTGCTCTCATGCAAGTCAAGAGCAGGATGGCGGTTACCAGGGACTGAGGCAGGAGGCGGAGGGTACTGGGGAGATGGTGGCCAAAGTGTACAAATTTCAGTTAGATAGGAGGCATAGGTTAGAAAGATATTTTTTACAACATGGTGACTACAGTTAATATATTGTATTCTCAAAATGCTAAGAGAGTGGATATTCTTACCCCCCAAATGACAACTGTGAGAAATGCAAATGCCCATTAGCTAGACTCAGTCATCCCACACGTGTGCACTTCACACTGAACAGAACTCAGTTTACCTCTCCATTTAAAAATAATGAATACATATACCTCTAGAGTCCAAAATTTCTACTGCAATACTAAGAACTCAACAAATGTATGAGTGAAGAGAAAAAGGGAGATGGGAGGAGATATGGATGGGAAGGGAAGGTGGTAAGGGAGAGAGAGAAGGAAGGAATCAGAGGCAGGAGGAAGAGCTGGTCAGGTGACATGAAGTCTGCAGGGAGGGGGCTCTGCACAGTACACGTGTCTGTTCACTGGAACACACCTGACTGCATGAGCTGGTCAGGTGACGTGAAGTCTGCA